CTTTGGACGACAATGAGTAAGCCTGTCGAGGAAAATGACCGAATAAATGGTGCTCACCTAGCGATCCAATAATGCTCTCCACCAAACTTCCAACCATCTGGGATCTTCCATTTGCGCTTATTTGATTTACGCTTGAGATCATCGAGCTCTTCCGGTGTCTTTGATTCCATGTCACGGAGCCAAGCTCTTCCGCCTTTGTGAGATTGAACCCATTCGATCCAGGCCTTCCATTCGATAACTTTCTGGTCGTGGTTTCCTCTCACACCGGTGACATTTGCCTGCGAGAGATTGTTCAAAACTTGGGGTGATGAGGGGCCTTTGGCCACCAAATCGCCGACATGTATCAGATAGTCGGATGATTCGGAGTAAGACACAGAGGACAGAATTTTTCTGTAAAATAAGAATGGCGTTCGTTACCAAACTGAGATATAGTGGCCGGATATGAGAGGCCAAACCTACTTGAAGCTGCTGTGCATCCCATGGATATCTCCAACGACGATGAACCGCTTATGACGCGTTTCTCGTAATTCCTCTTCTGCTATGGTCCGTATTCCATCACCCGGTATGCGCTCAAAGTTCGGAAAGTCTTTGGGCCGTTGACATATGGATTGCGTCGAGTCGGGGTTTGTGAAACGGAATGAATCACGTTTGCGCGCGCCAATCAACCGGAAACAGAGAGCGCAAGGGCGACGTGTCGGCCAATTATTACCAGTATGATGGATTCCCATGGTGGTTGATACGAGCAGTGAACGAGATGTATGTTAGCATGGTGTCAAGAACGGTCAAGAATGGAGCAGCCAGCGGAGCTCTTGAGATTGCCAGTTCGGTGGAAATGAGGATGAGTAGATGACTGACCTTTTGAAAGACCAAGCTCAATGTTTTCCCAGTCTTTGGAGTATCCACTCCCGAACCCGAGGATCAAGAAGACGGTGATGAAAGCGACTAGGATGGTGTACGATGCTATTCTTCTAGCTGGTTGCCTGCGGGCACTATCTATTGCATACTGGGCATCTGCTAGGGAAGGAATCGAAGAAGAGCGTGCTCGGGTTGCCATCCCTCAAGGGGTTAAGATGTACTTCAGGGACACAAAAAGCAGGTTAGCTAGGTATATCGCGCGCATATAGGTGATTTATACCTTGATGACGGCCTCCTGACGTTCTACGTAACGCAACTTGTGCGATGTTGGTTCGGTGCTCCGGATGTGCCGAATGCGTCTTCGCCGCTAAATCCCAAGAGAATGCGGTTATAAGATTAAAAAATGTCGTGCAAGACGTGAATGTAAGGGAATTGAAACGATTAGGGCGGATAACAAAATTATGCGGAGGTCAAGTTGGAGAGTTTTTATTTGTTTTTACGCGCTGCCTTATCTTCTTGGCTGCGCGCACAAACCGCAAGCCAGGGCGGCCTCTACACGCCTTCAAGTGAGCCCATCAACGCCAAAAATATAGATACGCCATATCTTCTCAGATTGTTAGATGATCACTGGGCCATTCTATCTCGTCTCCCTTCAGCCACAATAGAAATAAGTGTGAGTGGCCATATGTCTCCTTTGAATAAATATTACGCATCACGGCCACTGTCCTTACACCCTCACAGGTTACTAATAGATAGAAGAACACCCTCGATATGTAAACTTGACTTTATTGGTCGAATCAATCGAGCAAACGATTGTTGTAGGAATTTTGCATATTCTACACTTTGTATGGACGTTCGAAGGCAGTCATATGAAGAAACCGACTATTTCTGAAATTGGATTTGAATCAGATTCCCGCCTGCGACACCGGAGGTAAGGTCATTCTGCCCCTTAGCAATTTCCATCCCCAAAGAAGATCGACGAAAATAATGATGAAGAAACTGACAACCAAACTCCCCCCAAAGATGATCGAGTGGTACTTCCATGCGTTGTCGGCAGTCATTTTGATCTTCTCCAAGGCGATAGCCCATGGCAGGACCCAAAGCAAGTTTGAGCCCAAGCTCTGGTAGAGATACCACCGAGGAATCGTCGCGAGCATTATTGGATCGCTAGGTGAGCACCATTTATTCGGTCATTTTCCTCGACAGGCTTACTCATTGTCGTCCAAAG